AGATATACTATTACACAAATATCTACATTGCTAATTCAGTAATCAAGGTTGCAAAAGATTGTAGCCAGAAAAGGAATAAGTGGAATCTGGAAAAGTATTCGCTAAGGCTAATTTAACTGAGTGAACTTTATTTTGTATTGTACAAGAAAGGAACCCCATTTGTGTATGTGCTCCCGAAAAATAAAATAAGGTACTTTATTTCATTACAAACGTGGATAGGGTTGAAACCAGATTTGATATGACTTTTGTACACCTGAATATGTCTATAGATATTAGATAAACTCATGTCAAAGCGATGCCTACCATCTCACAGAGAGCTAGCCGTGGTGTAAAAAAAATGCATCAATCTCACTGGAGAATGAAATATAAAAGAACGCTAATGAGTGCACCAGGGTTTTCTTAGATCCATCACTTTCACATTGTTCACTAGTTCGATAAACGATTTCAATTGATTTACCAATCCAGGCAACACAACATCATTGAAGTCTAAAGATGAAACAAATGAAATGACCAACTCTTAATTACACAAGAACTCCATAACCTTCCTTTTCTTCAAATGCCTTAAAGTCATTTGATTTGCCCACATCGACAGAGCACCTTCACCTTGGCGATCCTCTAGTTTTAAATTAAAAAATTATGAGTTATATCTTTACTCGTGAAGCCATAGGAATATGGTTTTCCACTTGGTGAAAAGAGTAAAACACCAACATCTGCTTCGGTCAAAGTTGAATTCTCATATGTTTTTTGAACAATCCTTTTTCCCGTTTTGGGAAAGTAACGGTGTGTGCTTCCTTAGATTCAACCAATTTCATTTCAATCTTTTGCCTACATTCATTGCGAATACAAATAATTAAAGAAGAAATAAGATGTTTTGGTTAAATAAGCTTGAACAATTTTACAATGCTTGTGAAATTTATAATAGGTGCACAAGTCCATTTGTCACGTGTATAGTCATGCTTATTTAATGTTTTCATATTATGAGTCTATTTGTCACGTTTATTGACATGTTTATTTGTTGTTTTCACATTATGAGTCTATTTGTCACGTGTATTTACGCATGCTTTTAGTGTTTTCATATTATGAGTTTATTCGTCATGTTTGTTTAATGTTTCCATATTATGATATTCACGTGTATTATCATATTCATTTATTGTTTTTACATTATGAGCCTATTCGTCACATATATTGTATTGTCACATTTATTCAGTGTTGTGGATCTATCTATCATGGGATTACCCGGAATCCCAACAAAAATTGTTTCCTGTTTATTCAATTGCAATGGCAAAGTAATAATGTTGAATTGAATCTAAAGAAAAATGAGAAATAACAATTCTTTTAATTTACATATAATGTTAATTTGAAAGGGGAAATTTGAAGCAATGTTAAAGTTGTTTCCGTAGGTCACGAGCTTGGTGTTCAATACGGGTGCGGATCTAGAGGTCAGGATCCTTCATTTTAAGATTCGAGGGTTGTTGAAATTTGCTTTTAGTTACTTGAGTAGTTTTTAACAAAATAAGTTGTTTAGTTTGAGATAAACTTAAATTTTGAATTTTAGTTAGTTTGTTTATGTTTGAAATATTTTAGGTCGTTTAAATTTCATAGAGTGGGTCGTGAAAGCAAGAATTATGTCTCGAGTTAAAGAACTCTTTTCTTGAGAGGAAGTATATTTTCTTGAGTAACATGTGTAATTATATAACAACATAACTAGTGAAGTCTCACAAGTAGGATTTGGGAGGGAGGGTAGAGTGTGTACAGACCTTTACCCCTAATACCTAGAGCAAATCAAGTAGTTATAATGTGAAGGAATAATTGTATTTCCATAAATTAGGATACTTTTCTCTTTGTATAGGACACATTAAGTTCCAAGTTAGGCCTATTAGACTCTTAAGTGTGCCATGGTTCCTCCATCCTTGTCTTTAATACAGAACGTAGTACATTCTTGTATTTTATACATGACTTAACTCTTCTCTAGAGAACCTTTTCCTTCTCACATCTTAATGGCTATAAATATGCATGGCTGTTGATTTAATTTTGGAGGGAGGCTTGCTTGACTTCTCACAGAGGAGAAATTTCTAGATCAAGTATGAAGGAGTGAAAGACTTCTACTTTATTATTTTAACCTTTCCTTCTCAAAATACTTGTAGCCTCATGAGTACATTTCTTCTATGTGATGTTTGTATAGTGAATTAGTGAAATATGTGAAATTACACATGCTTCTCCCGTAAGTTTGCATCACCATTTCCTCCAAATGGTACTAGTATCATTCTGAGAGGTATACGTAATGCATGCTCATTTTGCAATTAAGTGTTTGTGAAATGTTGTTAACATGTGTACTTTGACGACCTTGTTTTGTACTCCTGTTTATAAACTGATTTGGAATAGAAGTTTGAAAGAAACAATATATGACACTAATTCAAAAAATAATTTGAAGTGAGTTGTGCTGGACTTTGTGGATAGATTTTTTGCCTTGAATGTATTACTTATGGTGAAGTCAAATGATTAGCGATTTGAAAATTTCTAGAGAGTGATACAATTTTGTGTAGTAGCACAAAACATAACAGTTAGCTATCCGGTTCCAGCCTTGTTCTGATTGCACGAATTTGTTTTTAATTTTGTCCAAATGTGATGTAGTTTGTACAACGTCCTGTGGATAATGGGAATGAGAGGTGCAATTAGGACTCTATATCCCATTATATAAGAAGAGTATAGATGCAGGCATAGGTAAAAGGGCATTCATCAATAAAGGGAGTGGGTGAGACCATGGTGAGGAGTTTCCTAAGGAGAAAGTATGAGTGGAGTTGGTAGCTGCGAAGAAGACACAATAACTGGTCTCAACGGTTTCAGCATGGATTTATTTCATTGTTTCTGGAACATAGCCAGGAGTGACATCATTGAAGGTGGTAGAAGACTATTGAAGTATGGAGAAATTAGAATAGGATTTCGACGCATCTTTTACTGCAGTTATTCTAAAAGATGGTTGAGCATGCTACCTCTCGTGCTTGCATCTTTACTGCAGTTATTCTAAAAGATGGCGGAGCATGCTTCATCTCGTGCTTGCAGGGCAAAGGGAAGGGAATACATAGGTGAATATATGAATAAAACTGTGTCACACTTGATTTTTAAAATTATAGACAAGCATGTAATAATCATATTAAGTGCTCCACATTAGTTGAGGAAATAGACTATTTTCTCTATATATGGTTTTGAGCAACGTTCACCTCATAAGCTAGCTTTTAGAGTTGATTTAAAGCAACTATTCATTTTTTTAAGATGGTGTTAGAGCCAAACACATCCTTGTTCTTGGTTCGCTCAATATCATCCACATAACAGATTATCCATTGTGGGCATGCAGCAGCAGGAGGGAGAGTGTTAAGTGTCCCACATTGGTTAAGGGAATATATCTTGTTTTCTTTATATGATCTTGGACAATTCTCTCCTCATAAAATAATTTTTGGGGTTGAGTTAGACTCAGATGTCTGTTTATTAACAAATTATAACATGCAGTAGCCTCGATATATTACCTATTCTTCCTTCTACCTTAATGTAATCCATCAGATATATAAGAAAGCATAAAATGTTGTCACACTATAAGAGATGCAATATAACACCAGATTGATTTTGTAATGTATAACCTAAACAATGCCTTATACATTTGTAATAATCTGTCCATTGCAATATGTATCGATGTGTATTGACCAAGAGCTATTTTTCTTTTCCGAATTGCTGCTTCAAATTCATTTTGCTAGTACAAGGGGAGTCTTCAATATGTTCCAGAATGAGGTGATTCTTTATGGAACTTGTTATTGCAGTACACTGCTCTCCAACTTCATGCTAATATTTCTATTTCATTACTCCGGGCGAGTTCTTTGATTCTTTCTCCCTTTTGACTGTTGTAGATATTTCGAAAGAGTGAAACTTGATGTTGAACCAGCTTGATCAACTCGGATTTGATGGTTTGGAGGTTCACTTACTTCTTAGACGTTTGTCGCTACTTCCTTTACTTGGACAACTTTATAGTTTTGATCTGATATTTATGTTTTAACTGTTTGTAAATGGATCAAGAAGGAAAAGGTATAACAGGTAGTTACAAAGTTATAGTGTACTTGCTCCTACACTCTTTGCAAGTTCTGAGTAAAAAATAGTCAAAGTTTGATGAGAGCTGCCTTTTGTTTTAATATATAGTAATTTGGATCAATTTTAGTTGGAAATTCTGATTTTTCTTCATATTGAAATACTGATGTGTGTTGTCTTATAAAATATCATCTGGTCATACAGTTGTAGCTCTCATATTGCAAGGAACTGCTTGCTTTCTATGTAGTTTTTCCTTTTAATTTACTTGCATGTCTATCTCTCTTACCGATCGTTTGGTACATGGGATGAGATAAATAACAAATTTTCATGTGATTGTTTTATCGTACTTTCTGCATAAGCTAATCTTAAATTTAATTTCGAGATTATTATCTTTTATTGCGGGTACTAAATGATCTTTACTAAATCAAGATATACTAATCAAAATTTCAACATCTAAATAACTAATTACATTTATATGAATTCTAAATGTAATTATACCTATGATATTCAGTAATTTTTTTTTTATAAATATCAACTGTCAGTTAAAAATAAATTTGATAAAACCTAAAATACAATATTAAAAATTTGGATTTCAAAGGTATTCAATATCAACCCTATCATGCCCATCTAGGAGAATGGTTTTTCTTAATGGATTGTTTGTAAATTGGCCCAAAATCCCCATCTTTTTTGGTTTTCTATTTGGTGTGATTAAATTCGAATTCGCATCGAAAAATTTTATATTAAAAATAAAATGCTCCCTAAAAAAAATAATTTCGTAACTAAAAAACTTGAAGATGAAATCTCTTAATTAAAAATAAACAAGTATTTACCACTCCGTCAAACCTTTATAACACCAAAGACCACAAAATTGAAAAAATTATCAGTAAGCGGGAAGCACGTGAGCAAAGTTTTATATGAGAAGCCACGTATACCCCTTACCCCCACCCCCCACCACATGTAACATAGACAAATTCAAAGCTTGTCACTATCACTTAGTTATTATGATGAACTGCAACAACATTTACTAGCAATTTTTTTGAATGTGATCTCTCTAGTTTCTGTTTTTTTGTTCAAAATCCAAAACCCCTTGTCTAAAATCTTAAGAAAAAAGTAACCCCAAATGTGGCCAGCTTTAGTTGCAGCAGCAGCAGCAGGATCTGGTTTTTTAGCCAAGAAAATCCTTAACCAAAATGCCACTGAACCCATCTCTGGTTCCACTGAAAGTGACAGCAAATGTGATAAACTCAATGACCCTGAAGAGTTTATGACTTCCTTTCAACATAAAGATTCAATCTTTACTAGTATTTGTGATAAACCCTTTAACCCACAAGGGCATAAAGATTCAATCTTTATCAGTACTTTTGATAAACACTTTGATCCAGAAGGGACTAACACTCCCTTTCAGCATAAAGATTCAAACTTTATATGTAATCTTGGCTATAGCATTCAAGAAAAGAGTGAGGGGTTCTCTGATGGGTCAATTTTTAGGTTTTCAAGTGCTTGTGATTCTGAAATGGGGTTTAGGAATTTGAGGAAGAAAAATGTGGAAGGTTCTAGAAAGACCAAAGGGAATGTGATGGAGTGGAAGGGAAAAAGTGGTGGGAAATGTGGAAATGTGAGGAGTGGTGAAAAGGAATTGTTTAGGTTGGATGAGAGGAAGAGAGGAAATGGGAAGAGATTTTATGTTTGTTTAAAGAAGAGGAGAACTAATAAAGTTCCTTCAGGGAAATGTGATTCTTGTGCTTCCAAAGGTAAGATTTCTAAAATATTATATATATATTGTACTCTTTTTTTTTTGTCACTTTAATTCAATAGTATGCTTTGGTAGGGACTGTGTTTCAATTTAACTGTGGATCACAATTTCTCCTTTAGCTAATGTTGCTCTCAAGTCCACTATCTTTTGTTCATAGAAACATCATGACACTCAAATTTTGAATGTGCTGGTTGATATTAGTGTTGATTTATGGAATGCAAGTAGAAAATTAGACTTGCATAGGTATGGAGTCGCCTTTGTTAGGGAGCGCTTTAAAATATTATATACAATATGATGATAATCATGCATTTTGATACATTAACCGATTTTGATACATTAACCGGACACCTTATTTTTTTCCGTTAAATAGCTCGGTTAACTGCTGGTGGACTCAAAACAACTTTTCACCTGATTGTGGAGTTAGGCAGTAAGATGCCAGATCCCCATAAATGTAAAGCTCCAAAACATCAGCTCTCTCATGATGAGAGCAAAACAATATCTTGTCAAACATTTCTATGTTTCAACTTATACCAATGAAAGTGTGGAACAAGTATGCATCCATTTGGATCTGCTTTCGGGATTTTCAGATTGCTAATTGATTGAGAGCCTTATACTGTTTAGGTCTTTTGGTAATTGTTACAGAAACTGTTGTGTTAATAAAAGAAGGATATCTTAGGGTGTGTTGGTACGAAGGAAAATGTTTTCTTTTAAAATAAGCAGTCTGCGTACTTATCTTTTTGTGTTTGGTAAGTAAGCAAATATATCATCACAAGTCATTTTTATGTAATCTAGGCAAACAATATGGCGGATGGGGTGAGGGGTGGTAGGGATGGGAGCTATGGGGGAAGAGTGGGGATGAGTGCATTGAAGGGTGGGAACGAGACAATTAGTATAGAATGCCACTTATGGAACTGTCTTTCATCACTGTATTTACTTTCTCTGGTCAGCTGGTATCCTGTCATTGCTCGATGCAAGCTACTTCAACAACATCACACCCGGTGTGTTTCCACAAGTGAGATGTACATAGACCTTACCCCTACCTTTGAGGGGTAGAGAGGTTGTTTCCAATAGATTCTCGGCTCAAGAAAAAACATTATACATAACAAGGTCGGAAAATACAACAATAAAGAAGCTGAGATGAAAATATCATTGAAAAGAAGAACATTGACGTCGGAAATAGTTATGAAGATCACTGTAAAAGAAACAACAGTTCTAAATAAGCTCGATGCATACTACTACCAGCTTATTGGTCGGACTTAATGACGTGAAAGAATAGTTACTCTTCCTGTTTAGTTCTAAATTTTCTATTTGTGCATGTTACTTTGATAGTCTTATTGGAGTGAATATTATCTCTTATATTAAGTTGCTCCAAGTAGGTGAACCGTGAACCTATATATCATTTGCTGCCCTATGCATTTTTTTAGATTCCCTTGCTTAATGTGCTTTACGCCGTCCAGGGAATTCGTTTTTTGGTTATGGACTCGGAATTGGAATGATGTGCATGATGTCAGCTGGGAAATCTGAAATCAATAGGCTTAACACTACCATGGATGAAACTGCAAAAGCTGTAGAGGAATTAAAAGCTGAACTTTCTAGGAAAAAAGTTGCACATAACCTGTGTGCTTCGAAGAATGAAGTCGACATGGATGAAAAGAATAATAGAGAATGTAGAATACATGTGATTGCTGAGAATAACAATGAGAACAGGAATATTTATAGAGCACTAGATCTCCAAGTGGCCGAGGAAGGTGAATGTGCTAGCAGTGTCATTACAGAAGAGCCACAACCTGAGGTTATGGAAATGGATCAGCTGGAAGCTGAGCTCGAATCCGAGTTACTAAAGCTTCCATGGTGTGCTACAGAAGTTATGGATTTGAATGGAGGAAGAGATCCTTGTCAGGTGAGCTCATTGTGTAATAAATTTCCTCTATATGATCTTGACTACCCTGCATCTCTTTTCCATCTCTCTGTGTTTTCACTACAATTTGGTAGTTTCCCAACTTCTTTATAATTTACCTATATTTGTTAATGAGTACATCTTCGTTGGGTCCATTCAAAACGAATTCTATTAAGAAACTTTCCAGCATCATCTTGATGCAAGTAATATGTTGTTATACACAAATCAATACTAATGCCTCGATCCAGAAAGAGTGATGAGATATGAATTATAACGGTTCCTTAAGTTTCTACTTAAAATTTACATGTTCAGAAATTATTCCAAGTCATAATTCATTAACATAAAAAGTGTAAAAATTGTTTGAGAAAATCATAGTCAAAGGGTAATTTTTGACTAACCAAATTGTGATAGGGTCAGATAAACAGTAATTTTTTTACTTATCAAGTAGTAACTTAGTAGGTGTTTGGACTAAAACGATGTGATATCTGGAAAGAGTAGTATTTGCAATTGGTTAACTCCAAATAGATATCAATTCATTATGTTATTCCTGTTAAGAGGTACCATAAATTTGGATAAAAATAGTCACATAAGCACAAACAAAAATCGGAAGTTGTTCTTAGGTTAGGTTGTTTGGACTTTTTCTAACTAGAAATGGTTAGACAGCCCCTCATGGCTATGATAAATCCATTTTCCTTTTTGGATTCTCATCTGCTGTCGGGTACCTGCATTGGGGCCGTATTAAATCTCGATTGGTGCCGGGAAGTCCCAATCCGCTCCCTAACAAGGATGAATCCATGTAAGTAACAGCAAATCAAGTGGGATTTCTTCTCTTACACTTCTAAAGTTGATTATCACTCTCATAATGGCCTAAATATCTTAATAGAATATAATTGCAACTATAGATGGGCGTGCTGGTACTTTTCTTATAGCATTAGGAATATTTGTGTTTGCACTTTTTGAGGTTAGTAGTAAAGTTAATGGAACATTTTGTTCTCTGATTTAGACCTATCATTGGAACTCTAACATCTAATCAATTAGCTAATTGCAGAACAAGCAAATGTCGATAACACAAGATTTTCCATCTTCTAGTTCCGCTTCACAAACTAATGTTTTACTATTGGCTTTTGCTGCACAGGATGAGTTTCTGGAGAAGGAATTTAACCAAGCTGATGACCGCAATGCAGAAACTTATCTATGCAATGGAGTATTGCCATCTGAACTGGATCAAAAGCTTTGTCATCTGCTCATTGAACAACAAGAAGGCCAGATAGTGGAGTTAGAGTCTGAGCTTCGCCAAACTCATTCGAAACTCCACGAGAAAGAAGCTGAGCTCCAAGCGCTCAAGGATTGTGTCCGACGTCTTACTGAATTTTCCCTAGGTAATGCTTCAGGTATCACTACTTCTCTTTCGTGCCAAAGCATAATAAGTACTAACTAGTGCCCCTCGTAAATCTTTGTTTATACTTGTTTTAAGGAATATCCCTTATGATTAATTAATCAAATAATTTCTTGGATATGCCAAACGTTAAACGACATATCGAAGGAGTATAAAGAAAACAACTATAGGAACAACTATGTCTCGATTCTAAATTAGTTGAGGTCGACTCTCTCTATCCTAAAGCAGAAAAGCAAGGAACAGAAAGTTCCAAGTTTTGGCTTTAGCATCACACTATACTGCTATGTTTGCTTAGACTCTTCAAATCTGTCAACGAGCACGTGTCGGATCTTCCAAAAGTAGTGCATTTTGGAGGATCCGACACCGTGGCGGCTATATTCTTGGAGAAACCTAGCAACATAGCTATATTGTCAACTATGTCCCCAACGCTTGAACTTCATTTTTCTTTTTGGGAATTATGATATTTTTAATGATTTCTGAGGAGTTTCTCCAGATGAAGAGACTGATGGCAAAATGGAAGATGAGATCATTGTTGGTGGGGATCAAGAGAAGAAAATTGAACCTGAAGTAGGGAAATCAATAATTGGGATGAAAAGATCAATGATCTTTTGAGTATTATTAAGTACTAACAAATGAAAAGTCGATAAAGTTGTCTCCGTGTGATCGTGTAAGCAGTCACTAATGTTTGCATTATGTTAGGTTGTCTACATTGTACCTCTTGAGGTGCGATCCTTCTCAGGCCTTGCTAATATAAGATGTTTTGTGCATCGAACTATCTGTAAATTAAATATGATGGTTCACAAAGATGAAACTGTTGGATTGTTACCTTAGTGAAGAAAATATATTTAATAGTACAATCACCTCATAACTTTATTTTCTAGAATCTGTGGGCCTTTTTTGGTATAACATCACAATGACAATAAAGTTGCAGAAAAAGGGAAAAAAGGAAAAAGTTTGAAAAGATGGAAATTACTATGAGTAATACTGTAGTAGTTACTGTATAAGCACTGTGTTTTTGTAGTCTTTTCATCATAATATTGAACTATACTATAAATTATAATTCCTTATGTCTTGATATGACACATTTATATTTAAAGGTGAGAGTTTCAAGCTCGATTTCTAGTAGCACATGCTTCACTCAGAGAGGGTGAGGAAAGCTACGTATTTGGCTTTTGCACGCTTTTGAGGCTTACGTTTTTTTTTAAATTTCGTGTCCAGTCGAATATTTGAATAATTTTATTTTGTAAATTGATTGGTTTTCTTGTGTCCACAATAGGATGATTCTTGATTGACTTGTTACACCCTCTTTTATTGTCCTCTTGGGTCAAGCATTTTTCTTGATTGCCATAAGGATTTCTGAAATAATAGTTGACTTTTTGTTTTCTTGTATTGGTATTTTATATTTTATTATTCTACTGACAATAATGTTTTTATAATATAAATAATAGAAATAAAAAGTACTGAATTTGCATGTGCATTTAGAGAAGTTGGTCTCCAAGCAATGGTGGTAAATTTAAAATTTCCCCTCTTTGCTCTTTTTTGAAAATCAAATTTCTAGAGAATTTTTTTTCCTTTTTATATTGTGAAGGATAAAATAATGTCTAACTTATATATATATATATATATATATATATATATATATATATATATAATAACTATGTAGTATTGTGTTGACAATGTGATAATGTGGTTAAATAAATCAAGAAGAAATTAATATTTGCATTATTGTTATTTTTTTTTTAAAAAAAAAAAGGTATTTACACCATAGGAAAAAATAAGGAAAATGATAAACAAAAAAGACAACTACCCTAAATTTCTAGAATCATTGTGATTTATTATGATGGAACTTTTACCTTAAATTATCATAAAATAATTTTCATAATTTGTCATGAAATAATTGTCATAAATTGTTTAGGTTTTGTTAGATTGCAATAATTGTTAAATTATAGGAGTTTGCTTAGAGTAGTGTAATAAACTAACTTCCACCTATGTTTAGTTTATTTCAACTTTCAATATCAATGTTGTTGATTAGTTATGTGAAAAAATGATGATAAATGTGAAAGTTAAGTAGTTGAATTATAACAATAGAGCGTGGCGGAACGATGAAATCTTTCGACTTTCAAGTAGAGGTTTCAGATTTAAATCAGGAAAATTAAGAAATTCCTACTATAAACAACTTATCTCCTTGAATAATAACAAATTAATAGGGTTCACTAAGTTAATGAATATTAGAACCATAGGTCTAGGGTTCAATCTCTAGGAATCGAGGAACTATTAGTACAAATCTAAATTGATCGGGTTGGTAAATTTTAAATACTTGAACTAGAGATTTATGATTTAAACCCTGTGAATCAAGAAACTTCTCATAGGAAGCATTTTCCCTTAAAGTCTACGTAATGCTAATCAAAATTAGTTGGATCGGTGAATTTCAAATGATAGAATCAACAATTTAGAGATCAAATCCTAAAAAATGAGAAACTCTTAAAAGGGATCGGAGTGGTTACTCCTTAAATGAATCCTACATAATATAAATCTGAATTAATCAGGTCATGAAAATATGATTATTAAACAATTGGTTGAATTACTCTTAGGGCCTAGTTTGGTAAATTTAGTTAGGTATATATTTACATGATAATTGGTATTACATAGAAACTTGAAAGGAAGGAAAAATCATTCTCCTTTGATGAAATTTTTGTTTATAAGTCACATTAATTTAAATTCATGTCACGTAAAATTTCATTTTAAAAAAAATGTTTTCTTTAAAAAATATTATTACAAGACTCAAATTCGAGATTTTTTTTCATTCCCTCACAAAATATAAATTTGTGAAAGGGAAAAAGATTATAAGAAATTGCCAAAACCAAGAAAATTTGTGGTGAAAAAAAGTATAAAGCCAAAAGAAATGATACAAAGCTACAATTAAAAAATCTACTTGTCTCATTCAGCCATCCGTGCACAACTTTTAATATTTCTTTTTTGGTTTTTTACTCGGAGAGAGTACTATTCGAATTGAAGTCTGATTAAATATAAATTTCATTAAAAAATTTCGTATGAAAGGGTAAAACTCCCTCTAACAAAAATGAATTTGTAATCTAAAAAGATTTAAATTTAAAATTTCTAATTAAAGATCATAAAAATACTTATCACTCGATCATAATTTTTATGGACCAAAACTTTTGATATTACTTGTACGATACAACAATAAATTTTGCACCAAACCCCACCACCTCAAAATCATTTTGTTCTATTACATACAATATATAAGTAAAAATCACAAGAAATCACCGAGAGTATTTTTTGATAAGGTAGTTAATATTTTTTCTTATTTTTAATCAAAAATCTCAAGGTTCTGATATAATCGAAAGCGAATATAATGTCTTAATATCGAGTTTGTTTGAACCAATATTTTTGAAACTCTTCGTAAATTTATTTGAAGTATTTCACTAATTAGTGCTCTATTTAAACTATTCTTGTTTGTGTCAATATTGCCATAAAAAATGATCGTACCAAAAATGAATGAGTCGAAATGAAGTGACTCAATAAAAAGATAATTAATCAAAGTGATCAACTATGTTGAAAAGTTACTTACCATGAAATGGATTGAATCTAAATAGGTTAACTAATGTATCATAATTCAAATTATTCAATTCCCATCAATTTTTATACTATTTAATATGTTTGCTTCTTGTTATATATAAAAAATAAAAGCCTTTGAATTCAATCAGGTCAAAATAAGCTTAATTATATAATATACAAGTTATTAACTAATTAAAACTAAATAAATTATATTTTCATGAGTAATTATATCTAATATAAATGTTAGCTATACGTATTAACTTTTTTTTTTTCAACAATAAAAATAAAGCAAAGAAAGTAAAATATGAAAAATCAAACCTTCATCAATCGAGTTACTAAAATTCTCACACGCCTAACAATCAACACATAACTTAGCTCCATCACCTTTTTGATTTGCGCATTACATAATCTATTTTTTTAAAACGACACACTCGACAACATAATCTAAATATTTTCTTTCGTTTAAAAAAAGATGATTTAATTTGACTTGGAACGGAATTTAAGAAAAGAAAGAAAAAATTTTAATCTTGTGGTTCTAAATTAAAATTTTATCAAATGCATCAAAATGCATTTTAATCTTATGGTCTTAAATATGTTACGTGAAAAGTTAAAGTATTACCAAAAAAAGAAATGAATCATTCTTTTTTAAAAGAAACTAGGCAAAAAACATAAACAGGTTTCTAAACTTGTTGGTTTTTTTTCCTCGGGTATCTCAACTATGTTATTTTCCTATTGAATCATTGAACCACCCATAATTTGTTCCTTTTAAACAAACATTGTTGGCTGATGCGGAATTAGATTTTGTGAGGGGTATTGGTAGATGACATATATTTTGTTCCAAAACTCATTGGTTCAATTGATAATGAAAATTGTTCGAGAATAATTGTGTTTTACTTGAAGTCATTTGAACACAATAGAAAACAAATGAGATTCACAAGAGTTTTTCTTCATTCTTTCAATCAAAATCATTGCAATATAAACACAACTGAAGGCTTTCACAATAGAAAAGCCGATCAAAATCAATCAACAGTGTATTATAGGCGGTTCAATAAGTCAATAGAAAAATGACGTAATTAAAGTACCTGAGAAGAAAAAATCAAACAAATTTAACTTCGAACACCAAATATGTAAAGTAAAAGAAAATAACTAGAAGAGATATAATCACCATACCATATAAAAACTAGAAAGAAACATATCAAAGTAACAAAACCACACCTTCTCTATCTTCTCCATTACTCCAACAAACAAAGCTAAAACCAGAAGAAGAAAAAAAATCATAAGAAGATGAAAAGTTTATTTTCAAAACCCATTTCAAGTCCAGGTAGAACAGAAAAATTTCCTCCGCCATTAATGAGATTCTTAAGAAGCAACGTCGGAAGCAAAAGCAACAGAGCAAGAGCACAAGCTAGCCCTATGTTTCTGCGCAAAAACAAAAACAACATCGCCATTGAAAAAACTCAAGAACCTTCTTCCCCAAAAGTCACTTGTATAGGTCAAGTCCGTGTTCGCAGATCCTCGAATAAAACCACGAAAAAACGAAAACGTATAGAACAGAAGAAAACCCAGAAGAAATGCTGTAAATTACAGTTACACAAACCCATTTCAAATTTGAAGAAATGGGTGTGTTGTTTTCCGTTTGGGTATTGTGTAAAACAAGTCGAATCAGCTCAAAAGGTTACCATCGACGCACAAATCATCGCAATTTCTGAATCAGAAAAAAATAAAGATGATTACGCTGGGTGTAACGTCAATCCACCGGTAAATGCATTGATTTTGACTCGATGTAGATCAGCACCATATAGATCTTCATCATTAGCTAGTAAATTTTGGGGTTCTCCATTGAACAATCAAAATCCCCAAACAAATAATATTCGAGAACCGGAGGAGGAGGAAGAAGAACCTCAACCTCCTCCTCCTTCGGTTCTCGAAAAATGGGATTTAGGATCGAGAAAAAGCCATGGAAATGAAGAAATGCAGAGCTCCATTAATGGAGAAAGTAGTAAAGGTTGTGTTCATCCATTACTTCTTACAAGATGTAAATCAGAACCATCAACAACAGGTGAAAGGCTTAATCCAACAAGGTTTAGTGATACTAATCCTCTAAGTTGATTTTTTTTTTTTTTTGGAATTTTTCATATTATTATTATTGCAATATACTTGTACTATTTTTGTTTACAAGAAATATAACTAAAACTTGTTTTTATTGTACTTTAATTTTTTAAAAATAATTTTTCAAATATTGTAACTAAAATGTTTTTTTTTTTTTTTGGTGCTATGCTTTTTTTTCCTCTGCTATGCTCAGCTCAGCCCATTCCTCAAGGACTTTTTTTTTAAAAAAAATTATTTTTTGTGGGGTGGGAGTTGGGGAGTGGGGGTGGGGGGATGAGGGTGGTGGATACATTTTTATATTTACCAACAATTTTTGTATTTTGTCTACTTTTTCTTTTCTTATTTTATTCATTTCGAAATAATTGTCATGTTTTATTTATTGAGAGTTTCTTTAAAATTAGATTCATATAGAGTATTGCGATACAATACGAATATGGTATATATAAGAGAAATATGAGATCGAAATTAAGAAGTGTTTGCATTTTTTTCAAATGAGTATATTTACCTTCCACCTTTGTATCACCCAAAATAGAAAGAATCAAGAGGCTCGATTTGACTTATACGATCGTTAATGTAAATCGAGGAGTTGAGTCTAAACTGGTGAATCAAAATTACTCGGGGAATTGAGTCTAAACATTTTTAGTGATTGGTCTTTAGGGTTAACTTAAACATTAATAAAATAAATAAAAAGTATTATACATATTAATATGATTCAAAATATATATTGTAATATCAACTAAAATTCATGTAATTTTATTTTGAAAAATAAAATATGATAAGTATTTTGAGACGGAACTAATATTTTATTATGGGTGTGTAGTGTGTTAGGGTGAAGTGTGAACTTAATTTTAAAATCATCTTTGGATGCTCTGACTTTCAGAAATTTATTTAAATTTGTGGAGTAAAGAATTTTAAGTATTTATTATCCATCTTGAAGATTCAAAGATTCCACCAACCTCATATATTATAATTTTTTTCTTTTGTATTCTAGTGATCTTACAATTAAATAAATCTTGTAAATGTATATTAAAAATATTATCTATAATAGTAGCATTTGAATTAATTTACATTTGATCTATTATTCTATCGAATCTTTGCTGCGTCTAATCTCGATATATATACACGTTAAGCAAAGGCGGGTCCATATGATTTTGTGAGGGTGTACGTAAACTCGTTAGCTTCGAAAAAATCATGTCTATATATATATGTATGTATGTATATTTAACTTAAAAAACTGACGGAAAGTATGATAATTAACGGTGCATCATGAAGAGCGTAGGAGTGCCCTTGTGTTGCTGATACAATTAGATAGTAAAATCACACGTAAGATCAGGATATGAATCTAACTAGTGCTTATTTTATTTTATTTAAATTTAGCTTAGAGCTTATATTGATATATCCGAAGTCTTCAAAACTTGAGCTCTGTCACAAAATTTATTTTAGGGATCTTAATATTTTTGGTCAGTTGATTAAAAGACTAATTAACTCACTTAATTATAATTATTAGTAGCCTCATCAAATATTCACTCAACAATAATGACATGCCACTATAATATTATAAAGTGAAATATTGACGGATGAAGTGTAAGCAGACTTTATCCTTACAAAATAAATATATTACTTTAAATAAATTTTTGATTCGTAAGAAATCTAGTATGAAGAGTCCAGAAAAGATTATAATAGAAGTACGAGAAATAACATATAAAACAAAAATTTGTATGAAAATGATAACTACGACAAAATAATATGATAATCAAAGTATAAATTATAACAAAAATCAAATGCAATGAAAAAAGATGACAAAATAACATATTGCTATCTATTAATCTTCTATCATAATTCATATCCTCTCGAACTATCATCAATATATATTGTGTTAAAATATATGTATATAATCAATATATCATATAATATAAAAATCTCTTTTGTTTGACAAAATTTTAATATTAAATGCATTGATATTCTGTTCCCATTGACTCCAAAATACTGGATCTGCTTCAAAGTAGTAGTAGGGGCCTAGTTGGTTTATTTGTTTTTTAATTCTTTCTACAAATATACCAATAAAGTTGGGACATTAGTTGGGTTTATTCTAGAATTTTGTTTTTACACCAAACTTAGATATTCAAAGTGTATTTTGGGACAATAGAAATATATGTAAATTATGGAAGTTTAGTCCTTTATTTTTTTTAAAAAAAAAGACAGTTAATTATTGCAAAAATAATTTTTTATAAAAATATTATAGGCCATTGTGCATGAAGTTATGAATATCTCTATATTAAAAGAGGAAAATATTTTCAACTACATATATTGTTTTTTTTCATTTAGTCCAAGATGTAATTTGGAGAGAGTTTTAGCTAAGTTTATAAGATGATTAAATTAATTTTTAAATGTTTTTTTTAATTTATGATCAGTATACTTGATAAGTATCAAAAGTATTTTATAAGTCATATAATTGGCTATTCTGAATTATAATTTTATTATTTATAAGCACTTTTTTAGTTTAAATATTTTACGATTTTTTCCCTAGATTTTTTTGTAATCTTAAAGTACTTTTCCTATGTCCCAAAAGGAGATGGTTAGATCAATTATGTTATTTGAAGCAGAGTATTGACTAATAGGAATTATTATGTTCAGAAGATGAAAGTTACGGAATTGAGGAATGAAATGTATATGTGTGCACCCTATGAGATATAGGATCATGAATCATGATATTCGAGACAAATTAAGGGTGACAAAGTGAGGGACCGGAACTAAAATGGTTTGGATATGTGAAGAGAAGATAGTTAGTGACAAGTTGCAGAGGGTGGATTTTAGGAGAGATAAAGTGAGACCGAAGAAGTATTGGTGGTGAATGGTGATTAGAAATAACATGACACATCTTCAGTTTATCGAGGACACGACCTTAATAAGAAAAAATATGAAGATTGCGAATTAAGGCAGAGGACAGAGTTAGTTGTTAGTCGAAACACTGTCTTGCTTTTCGATGGGATAAGCTTGATGGCCATACTAGTATTAATGGTATTATTCTCGTAATTTTTTTGTTCTTTAGTTTTTGTTATTATATCTACCATATTTATTCTTTGATTATCGTATTATTTAGTTTTGTTATTGTTCCTCTCTTTCCTTACTAACTATCCCGATTCCTACACTTTTGTATTATTTTTTTTAAAAAAAATACCTTAAAATTTGTTTATTTAAATCGAAAGCTGATCTAAAATAATTTTTTCATCTTTTTAATATTCAGATAATATCTATATATGCCTGCGCTATCCTCTTCGGACCCTACATTTGCTTAAGTTTAGGAAGTTGGCACGTGAATGTGTACAATGACAACACAAACATAAAAGCCTTATATGAGTAAAATAAAAATAAATGCATGTCATGCAATCACACATTTGTACAAAATATTTTTGGAATTTTCTTGGTGTCCATTAGTTTTGAAAATTTTAAGATATGAATAGAAAATGATTAAAAGTCATTCTTTTTAAATCTAAACAAATCTATTTGCCATCTATCGAAACAAACTTTAAAATTATAAGAAGTTTAAAGTTAATGAAGTGAAGTTTGTGCTTTGTAAGTTATAAATCGGAAATGAGAATTCATATAACCAATTTATTCGCGATTAGCCTCTTACGAATTCAATTTCACAATTTATTTTTGTTGGGCCGTTGGTTAAGGCCTATGAGAAAATTTGAGTTGGAAGGGGAAAGAAAATATTTGACAATTTATTATTGAACTTCTTCTAATCCAAAAGTCCAACTTGCTCCCAACCAGAGTAATATAAAAATTGTATATAATAGCAAACTAATAACCTAAAATAAAGAGAATAGCTAGAGTTTGATTTAATCGTGCTCCATAGAAAATGTTTGCAAAAAAATTGCCAGACGCCTCTCTCCCAAATATCTCGCTCGCCACCCTCTCCAATCTCTCGCTTACTTCCTCATTTTATACAAACATAAGTATATAAAAATTGTTTCTAATTGTATAAAGCAGAGAAAATTGTATAAATACATATATTTTTGTTCCTCTCTCTCCCCTCTTCCAGATCTCGCTCGCCACTCTCAGCTTTCTCACTTATACAAACAGAAGCGAAATGTATAATTATGTTTTTGTTTGTATAAAGCGTGAGAAAATTGTATATACACATGCAAGTACATATATTTTCGTCCTATACAGTTATAATTATACAATAAATATACTCCCCTGCCCAATTTCTTTTGTCCTTCTCTCTTTCTCATTTTATACAATTCTCAAATTGTATCTAGTTTCTCTCTTTCTCGTTTTATACATTCGATTCAATAGCATATTCCTTGTCAAGTCTCTTTTGTCTTTCTCTCTTTCTCATTTTATACAAATTCAAATTGTATATAATCGTTCATACACTTATAAAAATACAATTCATTTTATACACTTCGTTTTTATACAATTTTCTATCCAAATGTCTTTCTCTTTCTTGTTTTATACACTTCGTTTTATACAATTTACTTCAACTGTATATGTATAGCGAATTATACAGTTTCTATGTTTGTTATGGAGCACTATTATACAAACTTTGCTATAACATATAAATATAAATTTTTTATTTGCTATATGTGAAAGTTTCCCTATGATATATTAGGAAAAATATTAAACAAGTTGAAATTACTTTTTTTTTTTTTTGGTTTCAGTTGAAATTAAATTACTTTAGCAATTTCCAATAGAAGAAAAAGGCTCACATATTTATTTTAATAGTAGTATATATAAGCATACTAATATGACTAAAATATATTGAGTATGAAGTATGAAAATTTCATCAATTTAGACGCCGATTATATCTTATTCTAAAAGCTTTTTAAATTACAATTATTTTGAATTTTTCAGAACTCACAGATATATAGCTCATTTATCTGATACATAACAAACGATGCGTAAATTATGTATCAGTTATACATAAGTTTTGTATCATATACATAACTATATCATTTTGTTTTGACAAAAGAAAAACTTGTGACAAATATATTGAAATCGGAGGGATAATATGTTTGATAATTTACCAAACTTTCACTATGTTTAATAAAATTAAACCTCAAAACTATCATTATTATTGAAAAATTTCAATATATTTTATTAGTTGAGCTTAGGATATACTTGAAATTTAAGGACAATGTCTACATCATACAGAGAAGAATTGGACCATAAATATTAAATACAGAAGGCATTAGCTGTTTCTCATTAATGGACTTAATTAACCATTAATATGAGCATGCCAGTCTAGCAAATATGCATAGCACAAAAAAATAAAAATAAAATTATAATTTTTAAAAAATGAGACTTAAAAGAAAAAAAGGGTTTTTAGTATTGAGCTAAACTAACTCAATTATACTTTTTAATATAATATAATAGTATCTATTTTTATCACGTTCATATAATATTTTTAAAAGTACTTTTTTTACATTATTAAAGGATATCGTTTCATTTACTTTATTTATAGCTCTTTTCGTTTCAACTATCAATATAATACTTTGTTTGTACACTTTCAAATTAAGTTTCATATGATAATAGTTATTGAATTAAACCTTTTAAAAATACTCTTAATATGATATGATGTTATCTACTTTAATTTATATCAAGTTTGCGAGCTTTTTCTCGAAAGATTTCTCATTATTAAGATTTTGTGTATCTATACACCTTATCTATAACAGTTCCTTTAATTTTCATGGTTGCTCGTGATGAATAATTATGATCACTATAATTGAAATTTTCGTAACGAATAATCTTGAATATCTGATAAAAGAATCATGTTTATGATGAACTTGAAATTTAAAATTTATAAGTCTATTATAAATCATCTGATTTATTGGTTCACAATTAATACATATATAAATTATAAGTCAAATTTTACTCAATTTTAGAATAACTTATATTACTCTTTGTAAAATAAAAATAAGTTCCTATTTATAAACCTTAAAAACAAAAAATAAAATGAATTATATTTAATTAAATTGGTCAAAATAGATCATTGACTAGCATGGAACTTTCTGTAATAATGTATGTGGACTTCAATCTTTCTCAATAGTTCATCCTTGTCCACTATTTTCATAGGCAAAAAATAAAAATAAATAAATAAAAACCAAGAAATCAACAAGTGTATATAATACATTTAATAATTATATGAAAAAGATTGCTATTAATTATTTTAATCAATATATACAAATCCATCCAGCCATTTGCCTTACATGAATTTGGTCCCCAAAATGATGTCTACAAAATAAATGTCCACTTTATTTATCGATGTCGAATAAGATGGAGTCAAAATTTTAATTTTATAATTTTTATTATTTTAAATACTTATTTATGAAGTAAGTGTAGGTAAATATATTCATAATTGTAAATAATCGTAAATCTTTAAAGATGTAATGTATTATTTGAATTTACATCTTAACATATTCATCGAAGAGAAAATATTACCGAATAATTTCCTGTTATTTTCTTTTCATTTTTAGAACGAAAAATCAATAATTTGATCTGATAAAATAAAATGAAGAAATTCTATTCATTTCACTTGGACTTTCGATGATGCTAAACCATGTATTGTTCTTGAGACCTAGGATGAATCTCATAAAATCATATTAGGCTATAATTACATGATAGTCTTGTCTAAGTACAAAAAAAATCATTAGTCATGTCTTAAATCTTATTAATTAATCCCTTAAATCGCCTTCACATTTTATTTAAAATCTTGGGAGTTTTTCTTTTGGGAGATTTATATGATTTGGAGAGAGATTAATTATTTGAACAAGTAACAAGCATGTACAAACAAATTAGTAGATATTACAAATATTTTTGCTTGTATCTTTTATATTATAAATAATAATATTTATCATCCATCAATTGTAAAAATCAATAATTAACAGTGACCATACTGATTTTTTAAATATGTCGGTAAATTTTATACTTAAATTATGATTTATTTTAATTGAGCATTTGAACAGATGATAAAGCATTTTTGTCAAATATTTTTAACCTTGGAAAAACTTTTCAAAGTGTTCTCAATCATCGATTATATAGTTAAGTTAACCACTTAAAATATATCATTACCTCATAATCATAGGTACAGTCAAGATAAAGAGTTTTGTGGTCTAAATTTTTGGACATACGAGAAAATATTTTCGAACCCAAAATTAAACATTAGTGTGGAAAGAATTTCCATGGAACCTTCCGTATTATTGAGTTGTGAATCAATTTTTTAAGAGGTTTACAAATTAATATACGCATATATATATATATATATATATATATATATATATATATAATATATATATATATATAATTTCCAATACAAATACAATATCTATTAAAACACTATTGAGTTCGTCCGAACCCACAAACTCCCACTTAGCTCCCTCTCTGCTCACAACGGCCTCAACCAACCAATATCACCTGTAGTCACCACCTCACGACCATCAGTGACGATTACCATCGATACTAACTATCTTCGGAGTATGTTTAATCAAATAAATAATCTTTACAATATCTTTAAATTAAAAAAAAATCTTTAATATCTTTATAATGGATATAATATTTAATTAAACATTGTTATACTTTTAAAATTATACTTTATTAATTTAAATAACATAAACTATACACATTTAATAATGAGAAAACTAGCAAAAATCATAATCTTTTCATATTTAGAAAAAACATATCCTACCATCCAAATTCAAGAAGTATTCAAAATATAAAACCTCACTATTAAAGGATCAAATCAAACTTTTACATACATTCAAATGTTAGGACAAAGACAATAATTATAATTTCACATCTTGTGCAGTGCATTAAATTTTTCCAACCACAAAATGCACAAAAAATAAAAATAAAAAGCATAGTAAAGGGTGCCAATCTAATCTATCTTAAGAAAAATAAAGAATAATAAAGACAAACTCCCCATAATTATTTTTTCCAACAAAGGTCCAAATACATCAATTTAAAACAAACAATTATGTTTTGCCATCAAACAATATGTAATGTCAATTGTTATTAGAAAACGACGATTTCATATAACATGCTATGATCTTAATATTTTAATCAACAATTTCATAAAATTACCAAAAAGAATTTATTTATGACACCTCAAATAAATGGTCAATATATAAATCACAATCTTAATTGAAATGTCTAAATAATTTTTTTATGAATGATTTGGAAGAATGATAGTAATCTTTGAATTATTATTGTCCATATATCAGACATAAATGATGGACATAATTTAAATTTTTTTCAAACTTAATTAAGTTATGTAATTTCTTGAATTAAGTTACTATAAACTCAATTTAAGTGATGATACATATAACTTAATGGCGTTTTTATTTGATTTCTTAAATTATTTGTCTATCAAATTCAAAATTATTAGAGACAAGAAAATAAATAAAAATGTACATAAGGGACAATGAGAAAAATATATATATTGTTTTTAGTTGTGTAAGATCAACCAAAGAACCAAATAAAAATATTTGCTGAGTTGATTGAGTAGATAATAATCTTTCAAATGACAGTTTAAAATTCGAAATCTTCAACATACTTTCTTGATTGAATTTGTCGCATGAATTTATTTAATATAATTCATCTTCAATATGTAATTTATATGATATCAAATTAAAAAAAAAAAAATTTAATTCATCTAATCGCCTACGTCAAAAATTTAAAAAAAAAAGAAAAGCCAAGGGGTCTCTTAAATGGAATGCCCCATTCTACGACATTTACAATAATACAACACATGGCACTGTCCTAATATTTTGTATGGAAAAACAAATAAAACAAAAATAATACTTTGAATTAGTTATTTTTGTTAGGTACACTTTCAATTTACAATTTTCTGATTTGTCCTTTCAAATATTAAGTGACCACATAAATATTTATCATAGGGTACTATTTCTGATAGATATACAAAATTTTCACATGATTTTTTAATGGAATTTATAAAGGACGTTATCATATTTTAGATTATTTTACAAATTGTCTTAAATATATAATTAATATAGCTATAATAAATTGATATATTCAATATATAATATACACATATTGATTATATACATATTATGCATGGACTATATTGACTATTTTTTTTTCTTGAGGGATACAAAGTTTTGAGGTTTCAAACCTAATAACTTTAGCTCACATATTATATTTATGTTATAAATTTATTATACTACGTTTCAGTATATATTGAGTCACACTGAATCGATATATATTGAGTCGTACTGAATCGATTCTTTGAAATTCATATTGATACCTATTCTAATATCCTATGCGATCGCTTCCTTAACGGTTAAATTGGTATTAAATTTATCAGAGCGAAAATTGGACTGAATTCGCATGTCAACTTTATTGAGCGCTGCTTCACTAATTATTACTTTTAAAATTCCCGAGTTAGACTTTTATTTCGAAAGTTTATGAGGTATGGAGTGTCGTATGCGGAACGAATTTAAGTCAATTAAGACTACTTTATAAATATTGAATATTGAATGAGAAATACTAGTTATTTCAAAGCTCACGAGGTATATATTTTTCTATTGATAAAAGACAAACTTGTTATAATTATTTTAAGAATTTTTTTACAAAATATAGTAAATTAATTATATAAAGTTAAGGGGGGTGGGGGTGGGGGGGTTATGGTACACACTACATAAATGTTCCTATCCAAACACATCTACATCATGACCTTGTAAATTATTGCTGTGTGGATGGTGAGTGACTGAGTGTTTCCATTGCCAAAAACTTGTGAACTTAAATCTACTCATCATGTGCTATTCTCTACTTATTCATGCTTCTTTCATGATCTATTTTTTTTTCCCCAATGAGTACTTATAATAATTCTCATTAGCAAATTTCATCACTCTTTTAGCATAAAATAAAACATATATATACATTCTTGATCAAGATCTTGATCTTTACCATGAAGCTTAAGTGTAACTTCATTGTCATCTTCTTCCTTCTCCTCCTCGCCTCGCCTTCCTCAGGTTTGTACTTATTCAGATGCGGAACTAGAATGAGTTTCGTGAGTTTAACTGCATGTTTCGTTATTTTTTAGTTTGAATATGTATCGATTAACACTACTTTTAAAATTACTATAATATACTCTCTAAATCCTAAATTCGTCTATGTTTGTATACTTGAAGTTTATGAGATATGCTTAGTTACATGCTTACTATAATTGATAATAGAAGAAAAAGGAACTTTATATATATGTGTAAAAATAATTATATTTTTTTTCCTTTTCTACAATAAGAATAATTATATATATAATTATCACAAGTAGGTAGGAGCACTAAATTAATTGCGACATGGATGGAGCACTAAAAACAATTGAAAAAAAAAAGGGTCCATGTTGTTGGTTATAAAATTAAATAAATTTTCAAAATTTATCGTGTTAACTTACCACGTTTAAATTCTGATTCTGCTACTTAATTAAGCTACATCTATCTTGATATTTATGAACCATTCTTGATTTTTTTTTTTTTTAAATAATTTTTTTGCTTACTATAATTTCACTTTAATTTTGTTTTTTTATAGGAAAAATGGATTTATCAAAAGTGAATGCCTCAGAAATTTATGAAATTGATTATAGAGGACCAGAAACTCATACTAAAATGCCTCCACAAAGAGTAGGAAGACATAATAATCATCATCGAGGCACGTTGTTTCATCCCAATGCTACTAAGCCTGGAAAAAATGTAAGAAAACTTTATTCTTGAATATTTTAGTGTACTATATTTTTGTATTATCAAAATTAGACTTAATATTTTATTCGTTTTAGATTTGATTGTATCGTAGCTCTATAATTTGAAATGTTATTAATCGTTGAAGTATAGTTTAGTATTTTAAAGGGGAACTTTAGGATAAAGATAACATATTAGGATAAAGATAACGTTATTTTATAGTAATTTACATATAGCTCAAAAATTTAAACTGTGAAGATGATAATTAATGCTTGTGTTAAGGGAGTAGAGTGGACTTTTATATGCTTTATCCATCGAGTTTTTCCTTTTTATGTAATTAGAGTTGTTTAGTATTGTAAAGACGGAATTTGTAAGGAATAATAAAATTATTTTTGTGTGATTTATATATAAGTCGTAAATTTAAATTATAAAAGTAACAATTAATGCTTTTTCAGAATGATATATAAGTCGTTATATCACCCTTTGTTCGGAGTTCCTTTGACTTTGCATGAATATATGCATGATATTTCATGCATCAAACTGCTTTCTTTTTTATGTTATTAGGACAATTTAGTATTTTAAAAAACTTTCGAAGAACAATAAAATTACTTTTGTATAATTTATATATAAATCATGAATTTAAATTGTGGAATTGATAATTAATAGGTATTAGATTACTACTATACACTTTGTCTTCATTGGCCTTCAACGATATTTTATGTATCGAATCGTCTTTCTTTTTTATCTTTTTAGTGTAGTTAGATATTATGTGATAACATATTAGTTATAATTTTTTCTTATATTATTTTTTTATTCTGCAGGGGAAGAAAAACCATGGATGATGTAGTAATAGTTTAATATAATTATAATTAATGGTGTGATTTTTAGATTTATATGGGCAAAGAGTGCGTGTCCTTATTTTTATGAAGCAATCGAAAATATATATGTTTGAACTTCTTTATTATATAGTTTACTTTCATGTAATAATATAGAGTATGTAATTAATTTCCAAATGCTTTGAGATTGATTTTACTTTTATATTATGATATATATATCTACTAAAGTTTGTGTCTTAATAAATGCAATTTATTCTTTATGAATCCATAAAATAATTATACTATTCAGTTTAGCTTTTAATATGATATTCGTTCATTTTTTTATTAGAAATATCGAGTTTAAATTTTGAAATTAGAAAATAATTTAGTAAGGAATTTTTCTTATAAAAATACAATATTGAAATGAAATATAATATTTTTTTCCAAAAAATAATATAAGAAAATATTATCCTTTTGGGACAAAAAAACAAATGATGTATTATGCATTTGCAAGTGTCGGTTCTTCCCTAAAATCTCTCATCTTCAAATAATGTAACATGTGATAATTATTAAAAATAAAAAAATAAATTAAAATTAACGATTTACAAATTTAAATTACTTTACGAACTAAAAAATGTATTTTACAAAATTAAAACGATCAAGAAAAATAATTCTCACGTCACAAGTGGTATAACAAATAACAGAGCTATAAATTCAAAATTTATAAAGTTAAAAATTTAACTTAGACTTTAAATTAACAAAAATGAATGGTGGTTGTTGAACTACGTGTTTAATAGAACATGGAATTACAATTAATTTGTGAGATTTCCAAAATTAAATGTTCAAAATTAAATCTTAAACTTAATAAGTTATTTTTTCTAATTAACAATTTCTTTAAAACATAATTTTCAGAATCAGTTAGACTTGTGAGTTAACTAATGATAAAAAAAATGACCTTAGGATAAAATTTTAATAAGAGATCTTAAATATATATACATATTTATTATTTTTAATTCAAAAGTTTTGATGAACATTAGTACACCAAATATATCGTAATAATAAGAATTTTTGAGAACATTAATACATTTTAAGAAAATTATTAAATTAATACTTATTAAAATTATGAAAATTTACTTGTTAATTAAGAGGAAAAAATTTTGGTATTTGATTAAGGAAAAAGAGGAAGAAAGTTAGTAGACGTGAGAGCAAAGTTAATTATAAATTTAATTCGTTCAAACTCTTTTTAGATTCATTAAAAGTTCTTTTCTTTTAAAAAAAAAATAAACAGAATGGACTTAACATGATGAATCTAAATTATTCAAATTAAGATTTAAAAACCAAACACACTTAATGCGATGAATCTAAATAATTAAGAATTTGAGTTCGATTAAGTGCATACAAATGAGGTCTAAGTGCCTATTTGTATACACCCAAAATAGAGAGAATAAATATCAGCTAAATTCCGATTAAACGACATATTTATATATTATGCCTAATTCAATAAACTATATTTTTATTTATTTTGTGATACAAAATGAGTTTTCTTAGACTATGAACAAAATATCAGAAATATATTTTAACAAAACTAAGGTCTTATTACTTTTGAATTCATTTTTATTTTGTAATTTTATACATCATTTGATTTACATGGTATAGGCCGTGGTTCTACTATGTGAGAGATGTTTGAATACTATGTAAGTCAAAAAAATGCACAAAGTTATCAAAAAAATGAATTCGAATTAATAAAGTTTTAGTTTAATTAAAATATATCTCTAGACTTTCGATGATAATTTAGAGATAGTTATGTTATATCTCTTTTATTTTTATCAAATTTAACATAAGATAAAATGATACTTATTTTGGGACGAAAATCGAATATATATTAAGGTGTTGACTAATTAAGAAAACTTAGCAGTATTGACAAAGGACCAATTCCACACGTATTTACACAGCATTATACATAGCACAAATTTCTTCACCAATCTTTCAAAATTCCTCAAAAATCTTCTTGATTTCATCAAAATCCCAATGGCAAATACCGATGAATCGAACCCACTTTTACCCAATCAACAATCTGAGGTGAAAGATGAGAAGAATCCCAATAAACCCATTTCTTCAACAACCCCAGTTCCACCGTTTCCGGCGGATCCGGTGAAGCCTTTATCAGCCGTTGTTCCGATGGGATGGACAGTTGAAGGGGTCCCCATGGGTCATGGAGTTGTCGTTGATCCGATTATGAATAGGGCTCAGTGGGATTCTGGACTTTGTGCTTGTTTTGGAAGGACTGATGAGTTCTGCAGCAGTGATATTGAAGTTTGTGAGTATTTTTCATGATTTTTTTTTTATGTTTTTGATTGAGGTGTAGTTGATTGATTGTTTATCGAACTTTATGCTGTGATTGAATTAAATGTCTGTATTTTCTTGTTTTTAATTAGTCGTAGCTACCCAAATTAGTTCACTACTGAGGTTCAATTGATTGATTGGTTATTTAGATTTTATGCTATAATGGATTAAATGTTTGTGGATTGAAATTTGTGGGATGATCTTTGCTTTGTTAACCTCAGCGAGGTTTAGGATTGGGGTATAGTTGATTGATTGGATCATATCTCTATTTTTGTTTATCAAAATTCGTGGATTGATCTTTTTTTAAAATTAAACTTAGCTATCTAGTTCGTGGATCGAACATAAATGATCAGGCTTAGAAATCTAGTTCAGATGTTGAATTCTAATCTCTACAAAGGTTCAGCCTTTTGCTAAAATCAACTATTGGTTCTTGTGAGTGTGTTCATTGAGTTATGAGCACATATGCTCCTTAATGTTAATGGAAAAAGAACTAGCAAGCAAATGTATGGTCATAGATGATAATTGTAGCTGGGGAATTGTATTTTCCTTTGACAACTAGGATGTTGGAGTTTGTTGCCAAAAAAAAAAAAAGGTAGCCCAGTGGCCAAAGATCCCGTGTTCAGGTAGTGCCCAAGGAAGGGTCGTACCCAATTCCCTTCTCTTAATTTACTTTTGCTTCTTTTGATGACCTGATCAAGTGAGGAAATAGCTATGCTGAGATGGAAGTAGCTGGAACACTTTATCTTTAGATTGTGTTTGCTTGAATCATGTTTGTTCTTCAAGAAATAATGTCTATTTTCCGCAAATGCATCTGCTAGATCAACATTCGAAGTTATATTAATTTTCTAGTCATATGCATATTGCACAAACATCTAACTAACATTTTAAATGATGTTTATAGATAATTGATGTCAACAAACAGTATTTTCAAGGTATTAATCAGTGTAATGTAATTGAGTAGTTTGCATCCACTACCAAATCTACAAAGGCAGGACCATTAGCAAGATGCGCACATGCTCGTTTCTATGTGTCTCCCGTGCTTTACTGAATTAATTCTACTTTTGCTAGTTCTTTTGTCTGATTGCTATATTTCTGCAATATGGTTTTCCTGTTGATGTTCCAGACTTACTTCCCTTTCCGGGATCAAAAGTTTTCCTGGTTTCTCCTTAATTTGTTTTTATTTATCATACTGATCTGATAAATGACCATCATGTCTCTGCAGGTTTACTAGGTAGCATGGCCCCATGCGTGCTCTACGGGAGCAATGCTGAGAGACTTGGTTCTGCTCCAGGGACTTTTGCCAATCACTGCTTGCCTTACACTGGCCTCTTCCTAATTGGACAATCCTTCTTTGGCTCGAACTGTGTGGCACCTTGCTTTACATATCCCAGTCGTACAGCTATCCGCCGGAAGTTCAATCTTGAGGTAGGTTGTCTGTCTAAAAATTTTACCCTTCTGAAGATGATTTACTTAAGCTCATTCTATGTTATGATCCACTGATTCATTTCTACTTTCAGTGTATGTGTTTCTTCTTTCCAATGCTCTGCTTCATATCTTCCTCCTCTTTTATATATATTTTCCGCATCAAAGTGAAAAATCTATTTTTGGAAAGTCCTATGTGGATTTTGCTCACTGTAATCTAACCCTGGCCCAAGCTCATAACTGTTGGTCCGGTACGAGTGTATAAGTTTGTTGTAAGAAATACTTTCTAACAGGTAGTTCAGCAGTAAGAGTTTTGTGGTAGTGACTTTAAAAGATAAAGTGGTGCACATATCTTTCTAAAAATTGGTATAGTGGTTCACACTTTCTTATAAAAAATGTGAAGTGGTTTACACATCCTTATTAAAAAAATGGTAAAGTGGTCCACACATTCTTATAGAATATGTAAAGTGGTTCAGACTAGGTTCAATCATATCAATTAACTGGCAACATGACCTAAGAATTGGTCCATTCTCTCTATTTAACTTTTCATTCGGATTTATGTATCTATTTGGTTAGGATCGGGACTTGATACTTGATCAGTAAATCTTGAACTTTTTTTGTATAAGGATAGAGATTTGCAGGGATTTATCGCAAAAAAGTAAAATAGATAAAAGAAGGTAGAGATTTGAAGAAAACTTTTCTGCTTGTGACTTATCAAAAAGAAAAAGAAGAGAATTCAACAACATACCAGTGTAATCCCACGAGTGGGGGAGGGGGGGGGGGGGTTCTAGGGAAGGTGATGTGTATGCCTACTTAACCCCTATTCGGTCAAGTTCGTCCAGATGGTTGTAGTCGCAGTTCTATAAGTTTTATCCCAGTTAAGAGTTTGTAAATCCAAATTTGTATCCTCTACAGGGGAGCTGTGAGGCCTTCAACAGGTCTAGTGGGTGCTGCGGGAGCTTTATTGAGGACGAGGTGCAACGCGAGCAATGTGAGTCAGTTTGTGACTTTGCAACTCATTTCTTCTGCCACCCTTGTGCTCTTTGCCAAGAAGGTCGTGAGCTTCGTCGCAGGCTTCCTCATCCTGGCTTTAAGGCCCAACAAGTGCTCGTTATGATCCCCCCTAACGAGCAAACCATGGGCCGCTAAGCAAGATTATTTCGATGAGGAGTCCAAGCCATTTCCTTCTTGGTTTGATTTGTATCCATTTTCTTAAAGCTTCTGAATGCTCGACTTTTTTTTTTATAGTTTTGCCAGTTATGTAAAACTTGAAGACCTATATGTGTTGTGTTTATAATGTGTATGTGCATAAAAGACATGGATTCTGCTAATAATATATGGGCTTAAGTCATATGCGGCCCCTTGAAGTTGTCCGCATATTTCACTTAGACACCTTAAGTTAGACTTGTACCTATTGAACGCTTGAACCTTAAGAAATATATACCTATTTAACACAAAATGACAATCAGTTAAAACATTAAGATGCGTGTATTTCA